TATAAAAAATGTCAATTCCTTTTGTATTGAGCCTTTCACCTGCTCTCTAATAACCTACTTATTTGTCCAAGTTCTAATAAATCTGATTTTAATCTCATCAAACATGGACTTATAGTTGAAGTAAAATTTGTCAAATTTGAGTTTTTATGTTATCTACAGTATAAGTAGGGATGGCATGCTTAGATTGATCCATGAGTCATAATCAACGATGGGCCGATCTAGGCCATGAGCATTTTGATTTTCTTTAAAACTATATAGATGAAGAAAAATTTGTCATATTTGGCTTTTTCAAAAAATACATAATTACTATAGTTTCAAGATACACTTTCAAATTTTAGAAACTTCTGGAATTCTTTCAAAAATCAAGTAGTCACCCAGTCAGTCACAAATGTGACCACCTGATGAAATATTTTTGACCCATTTATTATTTAAATAAGTTAAGATTACAATAACATACAATTTATGGTCACAATTACATACAAATCATAAACCACACAATGTCCAGTCACAAATAGATAAAAATATGGGTTACAAATACTAATTTAATCACAAATCACACATTTTTAGAGATCATAATTTATTTATCGATTACAAATTATCTATTTTCTTGGTCACTATTACTCAAATAATTACTCATAAACACTTTTCATCCCATCCCACACCACACCACTCCACTCCACCCACCACCACGACACCACCCATACGTCACTGCCACCTTACAACCATTGTTATGATCATCGTGGCACCACCACCAACACCTCCCTAAATCAACCAGCATCTCTATTTCCACATCACCACCACCACCACCACCACCACTAAACCACCACCATCACCACCTGTACCACACAACCACCACCTCTTCGTCGCATAGATCGCAAAACCACCATTTCTTCAAGCTCTACCATACCACAACCACAACCAATACGTCCAACCTTCACCTCTTCTTCATACAAACCATCACCATAGACATCAAGAATATTTCAGATCGAACCTCTCAGATTGCTAAAATTCACTCGAGACCGCTCGCCCAAACGCCACTGCTTCTCACACCATCTCTTTTACTTCTTCTTTGTCATGCCGTCATTGTCAACGACTAGTAAAGTGGTGGTTGGTGGTTGGAGGCTGGCAGTTGCCGCTTGCCCAAATGCTATTACTTCTCACGCCATCGCTTCTACTACTTCTCTATCTTGTCGTCGCGGCCAATCGATTGGTGAAATGGTGGTAGGTGGCCATGGTCGACAGTTCTTAAGGGTAGAAATGGGGATGGCAAGGGCGTGGAATGAGTTGGGGGTAGATTGGCACCTGATTTTTGAAATAAATTTATCTCACATGATTATTGAGATAATTAATAGCAGAAAATCCCCTAGAAATATTTCTATTTAAGATATACTCATCAACCTATTGAAATTCGCAGAAAATTCCCCTATTTGAAACCTTTTGTATGAAAAATCTCCTACCATCA